ATATCTTATTCCTTTCTTTCTTAGATATCTTATTCCTTTCTTTCTTAGATATCTTATTCCTTTCTTTCTTAGATATCTTATTCCTTTCTTTCTTAGATATCTTATTCCTTTCTTTCCATGACTATTTTGCCATCCCACAATCACATGGAGATATCTCTAAATACCTCCCCAGTCTGTAGTGGGCGGTGCTTTTCCACAGTCCTGTAAGCCAATTATGCTGGCTGGTCCTCTGCTTACATACCGTCTGCTATTTAAGAAAGTAAAGCCCCAGAGTTCATGAGTCACAATCTGCAAAGGAGAAAAGTACTTTTACACTGTTCTCCAAGAACAGTCTGGTAGCTAAAGGGAAGCTGGCAAGCAACATCACAGATTCAAGTGTGACAAATAACCACAGGAAGGTAAGGTAAGGGCTGGTGCAGGTAGGCTGGTATACATGACAAATTCTCCTAATGTTTAATTGGAAACAAACTTCACCGGTAAAATGTATGCATTTTCACCTAACTTTGGTCATAGCAAACTTTCAGTTCCTACATTTGATTTGATTATAAATGAAAAGCAGGTCCTGATTAAAATTAATCTATGGAATTGTTGAATTATTATGATCATAATTAATACAATTCAGGTGAGATTATGATATTACATGGGGGATGATGTGTCAATAGTTGATGGAAGTTAGAAAGGATTGTCAGATGAGTGAGGATGTTTTGGGAGATGCATTAACAGGTAAGTTGACTTACCACTGATTATGGTATCTAAGATGACTTTGCTGAGATACTTTCTAAAATACAAATTTCTACAGGCTGCCATATATTGATTCCTTGGTCCTTATCACTGCTGCAGTTTAATGTAAACAGTCAGTTAGCAAATTAATTATATGGCAACTGTTCTTATGTTTTTCCCACAAAGCTTTGAAAAACTATAATTACTAAAAATGGGGGACAACCAGTTTCACCCAGTAATATTCTTACGAAAGTGTGAACTTTCAAACCATACATTATAATATTAATCAACAGCCAATAGCTACAGTTACAGATTGACAAGCTTTGGTGTGTTGTCTAAAGTCCTTTCCAAGGTGATAAATATGCTTGTTATTACATTTTCTCTTCCTTTAGAAAGTCTGGTCTTGCTTTGTACAAACATGGAAAGCAACTCTGAAGAGCCTCCTCATTGCAAGGTAAATTAAACGTAACATTATTCTTTCTCAGAAATACGAAGCACAATTTAAAACAAAGACAGTGATAGGCTATTTTTGTTGATTGTTAGCAGAGAAACAAGCAACAGCAGGCTGCCATGAAGCCTGACATAGTTTCAAAGACATTTCCATACAGCATTGATCTTTCTGCATATGGAGACATATGAATAATTTGACATCATGTAATTTCTAATATCATTTTTTTGCTAGATAAATTATTTGTCAGTATATTTTGCGTTTTTCTTAGATCAATTGATAGGGCAGATACCAAATTCATTGCAGAATCCTTGTGGACTTTTCTAAAACTTGGGGTGAATGTATCACACTCACACTCATCTAATGTGGCCTCCATAGTATTCAAGGATATTGTTTGTACATAGTATACCTGATTGTGATCTTGGAAGAGTAAGTTGAAGATGTCTAGCTCTGCACCCACACTTCTTTTCATGGAATGCTTAAAGGTAGCAGTGAGGAATGACTCAAAGGTGTTGTGCACTGAAGTTGGATTCCAACTTCAATACACAAGTATTGTGTATTCCATAGTGGATTCCTTAGTTGTTGTGGAGCACTGGAATTTAGCATCGCAAAGCATGTAATTCTTGAATGTTCAGCAGGCCGCCCTATATTTATTTTTCTACCGGTTTTATATTGTGGATGTAACTTGATCTTGTTATTTATTTACTTATTTATTCAATTTTTACTCCACCTTTATTTTTGTCAACTGATGGTGTTCATACTCAGTGCTCATTCCTCCCACTTTCCCACATCAACAACCCTTAGAGATGGGTTGGGCTGAGAGAGAGTGACTGGCCCAAAGTCACTCAGCTGGCTTTCATGGCCAAGGCAAGGCTAGAATTCATAAGCTTCTGGTTTCTGGGCAAGGTTCTTAGCCACCACACCAAACTGGCTCTGTGGTCTTCCTCTGAATAAATAACTGAATGGAATTATTTATATGAATCTGGGATTTCTTGCATGAACTCTGGAAGGTGTAGTAGAAAATATACCCATTACCAAGAATATTAAAGAAGCTCATGGTTGGATAGGGCAGAACACAATGATAAATGCAGCATGATTAATACACCCATTTTTGCTGTCCACATGTGCCTCCCAGATTCCTGTATCCATCTCTCCCTAAGTTCTGCTTCCAGCTATGATGGAGGCAATCCCAGCCAACTATAAAAGTTGTAGTGCAATATATTCAGCAGATTCCAGGTTGAGGAAAGTTGTTTTTGAAAATTTAGGAGTTCCTCCATGACCAGAGACTACAGAACCTGACTGTGGTCATACTTTCATCATAGACACAGTGGACACATGAGCAACTGAATCCCATTGTCTTCCATTTGGGTGGGGTGGTGTCCATCTTTTCTCAGAATTTTCAAATATATCCAAGAGGTGTAAGTCATTGTTAAGAAGTAACAGAAGATACAGACTTTCTTTATTCCTGGCGAATCTCCTCCTCATCTTGTATTCCAAGATGGACTTTTCATTTTTTCCATAACGAAGAACAGGGAGAAAGATTGAGCGGAAGACTAATAAAACAAGTAATAATCTCAGGCATTACAGTGAAATTCAGCACTCCTATCCATTTCTACTGGCTGTAGTTGAGATTGTAACAAGTGTTGAGACAGTGTGTTCATTGCTGGTGCATCATTTTCACTGTAACATACACAAGGGTTATCATGGCACCTGCTCCATTTATAACAGAAATCTTCCAAGCCTTTTCCTTTATGTGCAATGGATCTTTTTAATTTTCAGCAAAAATCAGCAAATGGGAATTGTGTTGCTCCACCCATCTCCAAAGAGCAGAAGAATTTTGATATGCTCTATACAATCGAAGATGCTCCCCCATGGTATCTTTGCATCCTCCTGGGATTTCAGGTATATTAAACTGAGTTAGCTCCTCCTGGGCTCTTTTGCTGTTCTCCCTGGCTTGTTTAAATTAACAAATACTTGGCATGGTGATTGTTTCTCCACCCACAATAACAGAGTGACTGTTTACAAGTATTTAGGTGTCACTGTGTGTGTTCCCTCATCAATGGTGCCATTGTTGAAAAGGTACAAGATGTACAGGGCGGGGCATAACCTTTTCCTAGGGGGTCACAGCAACACTTGTAATAACAACACAAATAATTCATACACCATTCGAAAGCCCATCAAAAACTGAGTTTATTGACACGATTTAATAGTCAGTATGACCACCATTAGCCCTTCGAACAGCATCCAAACGAGGTGGATAAGAACACAACAAATCTTCAAACAGTTCCGTTCGATTTTCCAGATTTTTCAACACAGTTTCCAAATTCATTCTCAAAGTTTCAACCGAAACAAATTTAACATTTAATAGCTCATTCAATTCAGTTTTTTATGGGCTTTAAAATGAGGTGTCGCGGAAGTTGTAAACTGCTGTCAATCTTTCTGTGACCCCCTAGGAAAGGTTATGCCCCGCCCTGTACCTTGGCTATGAGTCTTATACTGAATGGTGATTGCATCTTACTTCTATTGTTCATTTATCTCTGCAATATTAACATGTATAGAACTTTGCATCCCAATCTCATTTTGGGACTATGCTTTCATACATCTATTTTTGAAAATTGAAAAATTTATAGCGAGAAGAAAAATACCCTTACAAAGCCACCAAAACTATGATCTCATCTGTTGTCACAGTTCCAATAATGCAGCTGCAACAAGAATGAACACAACTTTGTGCGTCCCATTCTCTACATAGGATAGGGGTTTCCTGGTGGTCTGTGTCCCAAATAAATCATGCATATTTCAGTGCTTTGCTCTGATTATGAAACAAAAAGAGCCCCTTTTTCCCCCTTGGCAGAAATAATTCAGGGTGAGACAGGAAGCAAGAGATTTAGTAGCTGAGGGAAGGAGACAGGGAAAGGAAAAGATGGGAAAATGGGAGCAAAGGAAACCAGAGGAATATGAAGCACTCAGACACAGAAGGAGGCAGCTGACAGGTGGGAAGGATGATACTTGGAAGATTGTGGGGATGGAGGAAGCTGGTGGGATTTGTTACACCAGGATATTGGGAAGTCAACTGAGGGCAGAGAGGAAAGATGATGGGAAAATTAGAGTGGAGGGGAGGGAAATGCTGAATAAAGCATGGTGTGATATTTTGTGTAGATTGAAGATGGTGGCAATTGATATACAGAGTCCAGATTTCATTTAATCTGAATCAGGCCCAATCACAATATTTCAGTGTTTGTTTTGGTTTTGCTGAAGAGTAGCTGGCCTGAAACAATTGAGCATGATGGTTTATTTTGGATTCTAAACAAAATAGTTCCACCATTCGGTGAAGCCCTTTAATGCTCACCATCAGTACATGAATATTTTAACAGAATAACCATTTCAAACAAATGTTGTTCAACCTCTTCTTAAAAGCTTCCAGTGTTGGAGCATTTACAACTTCTTGAGGCAAGTTGTTCCACTGATTAATTGTTCTAACTGTCAGGAAATTTCTCCTTAGCTCTAGGTTGTTTCTCTCCTTGATTAGTTTCCATCCATTGTTTCTTGTCCTATCTTCAGGTGCTTTGGAGAATAAGTTGACACCCTTTTCTTTGTGGCAATGCTTTAGATATTGAAAAACTGCCATCATGCCATTTTAGGAGCAAAAGGCAACTGTGGGAAAGGCATTTGGGCATTGAAAAAAGCCATTCTTGCCTCTAAGGTTTTTTTTTAAAAAAAGATTTCAACAAATCTCAGAATATTCCAAGCATGATGACCCCTTTGTTTGGCATGTCATTGGTCCCATTTTGGATGCATTCTTACAATCCCTCACCACTGAATTCACAGTTTAAAGAAATGTCACAGAACTCTCAGGAAATGTGTTTGACTAATATTTCACAGGGAAAGGATAAGCTCTATTTGAGAAAATTACTATCCATATTAGAACAACAGATGATGGCTTCAGTTGTATAGAATTTCAGCATTTTTACATAACCAATGAATGTACAGCTGCATCCCAACGCAGTGGTGCCTCTGTGTCAGTTTGGAGACATCTTATGCTCATTTGACATATCCTCCACCCTAATCTTTCCTCCAGCACTACTTGACGTGTTTCAGTGGCACCATCGCCGTTCCCTTCCTTCTGGCAGAGTCTCTCTGTGTAGGGAAGGACCAGTATACCATCAGTCAACTTATTGGCACCATCTTCAGCTGTGTGGGCATCACCACCCTCATCCAAAGCACTGTGGGCATTAGGTACGGCTCATCTGGTTTGCTCCTTGGTAAATGTAACAAAGAAGAGATCATTATGAGGGGGAAGCTGTTAAGATGTTTAAATTTAGTAGCTGGAGCAGTGGGGCCAGAACACACAGTTATAGTTGAATGATTGGAGAGTGTTGGCTCCTGAGGCAATCTGCACTGTGATTGGATGCTGTGGGTGTGGAGGGGGAGTTTCCCCTTTTTCCCGCCTTTTTCTTCTGGGTGTCCTGTGTGCTCCGTGATTTACCTCATGATGCTCCTGCTTGCCTGACTATCTTGTTTGCTGTATATACAGATGCAAAATACATCTATTTTGATAAATCTTACAAATATGTGTTTGCCTATCTAGTTTGCTGTATAACTAGATGCAAAATATATTTATTGATACAAAATTACAAGTTTGTGTTTGCCTAACTATCTAGTTTGCTGTATATACAGATGTAAAATATATTTATTTATACAAAATTACAAGTTTGTCTTTGCCCAACTATCTAGTTTGCTGTATATACAGATGTAAAATATATTTATTGATACAAAATTACAAGTTTGTGTTTGCCCAACTATCTAGTTTGCTGTATATACAGAGGTAAAATATATTTATTTATACAAAATTACAAGTTTGTCTTTGCCCAACTATCTAGTTTGCTGTATATATACAGATCTAAAATATATTTATTTAGCTAAAACTCTAAGTTCGTGTTTGTCTGACCATCTAGTTTGCTGTATAACTAGATGTAAAATATATTTATTTGTATAAAACGACAAAGTTGTGTCAGTCAGACTTCCTTTGGGCACCTGATGTGCAATTGCCTGACAGCAGCACTGAATCCATGCACTTTTTCCCCCCTTCCGTAAGGCAGGCTTCCTCTGTTTCAAGCCAGTGCCCTGGCATTCCTGGTTCCTGCCAAATCCATCTTGGCCCTGGAAAAATGGAAATGTCCTCCAGAAGGTAATGAAACTTGGATAGCCTGTAAGTTGACAGGAGCTAGAATAGAAATATCTTCAGAAGCCTTTAACTGAGTGAAGGAAGTCAGTAGTGGTTTAGTGGTTTAGTGGTTTATTAGCATTTGTAGGCCGCCCTTTTCCCTGAGGGGACTCAGGGCGGCTCACAGAAAACCAGGGAAGGGGGAATACAACATTAAGATAACAACATATAATAAAATAATAAGCAACATACATTCATCATTCGGGCGGGGTGGCAATCCTTATCCCCAGGCCTGACGGGCGAGCCAGTTCTTCAAGGCTATGCGGAAGGCCCGGACGGTGGAGAGGGTACGAATCTCCACGGGGAGCTCGTTCCAAAGGGCAGTAGCTTTCCAAATGGTAATACAGGTAGTCCTCAACTTCCATCCGTTTGTTTAGTGACCGTTCAAGGTTACAATGGCACTGAAAAAAAGTGACATGGCTGTTTTTCATACTTATGACCATTGCATGGTCACGTGATCAAAGTTACCCTGTGGCAACTTTGTTGTTTCAATTTATATTACTACCGTTTCGCTTGTGCACGCTCGCTCGCGCGATGCTTTTGCACATGGGCAGAAGTGTCCTGGCAAGTGGGTGGAGCATCCCACCACCATCACCACTACCAGTTCACCTGATCCAGGGTGAACTGGCAGAAACCCACCTCTGTGATCATGTGATCACCTTTTGCAACCTTCTGACAAGTGAAGTCAATGGGGAAGCCAGATTCACTTAAAAACTATGGCGGGAAAAGCTATAAAATGGGGCAAAACTCACTTAACAACTGTCTTGCTTAGCAACAGAAATTTTGGGCTCAATTGTGGTCGTAAGTGAAGGACTACTTGCATATGTTATGTGATGTGACTATAAACAAGAATCAGAATTTCGCAGCCAGACATCCACATATCTTAGTGTTGTCAAGGTTGAGAAACATTGTGGTAGACAAATTGCTTGCCTTCCAGATTTTCTGATTAGAATTCCTATTATTCTTTACCCTTGATTTTGGAAACTACAGCATGTAGAAGTCCAGAATACATACATTCAAAGCCATCTTGGGGTCTGGATACAGACTTTGGGGTTAACCAATATTATATAGACTGTAAAAAGCAAGTAAATTATAAGCCAAAGATATTAAGTGCGTACAATTTTTAAAAGGAACATAGATTTAGTTCATAGAAACAACTCACCATAGCTTTCCATAGCTTTCTGTCTATAGAGTGCATCCTTGCATCCACCATCGTCACACACTTTCTTATATTAGTTTTCTTTCTTTTTTACTGTTATAAACTCCATTCAATAAATACATTCTTCTCCTTCTTCTTCTCCTTCTCCTTCTCCTTCTCCTTCTCCTTCTTCTTCTTCTTCCTCCTCCTCTTCACCTTGACCCAAGCTTTTTCTATTTTACCACACATATTTCTGAAAGACCCCATCCTCATTGCATTCAATTTATTTTGTTTCTCCTGGTATACCCAACTGTCATTTCTGTATAACAAAATTGGGAGAAGCATACATTTATACACAACTTAAACAATTGTTTATTCCGCAACACATAGTACCTACCACCATTATATCAATAAATGGGATGGAGGGAGAAGAAATACATTGCCCCATGTCCACTATTCTCTCTGGGATTCAGGCTGTTCTGAAATGGAATTACCTTCCTCCAGAAAGAGAAAGTTTATTGTATAGGTAGTTGTGCTCTTTAACCCCAATTTCTTTCTTAATTCATGCAGACCAAATCTATGGCAATTGGACATTACCACTGAGCACTTCTCACATATGGCAACCAAGAATGAGAGAAGTAAGTTTGACCCCAGCCTTCCCAGATGTACATCCAGCCACATTTCTCAGGAAATCAGGCATTAATTGGAAATAGTGAACAGGAGGAATTCTTTATAGCCTATAAGGAATTTGTTGCCAGCAAATTCCCACATTTTCTGCTTATAAATGCAATCACCAAATGTTCTTTATTATAAGGGACAACCCTTCAATTCAGAAAGCTGTCCTTTATATTTATTTCATTTAGTTATTTGTTTTCTTGGTTTTGTGCTTGAATCTTCCCTTGTAATACAAAGTTATAAGCATATTTTTTAATCCTTAGGAGCCTCTTTCAGATTTGCCTCTTTTCCAAGTTTGTCTTTTATTTATTCCAATAAAATATGATTATTGCACTTATAAGTAATTTTCCATACCCATTGAGGGAAGTGTGTTTTAACTTTTAACTTTTTCCATTTCTTCTTTGCTAACTAGATGGTATGTTAGGCAAGATAAAGCAATTAAAATGTGATATTTACTAAAATTTCAAATATGTCCCAGGGATGCTTTTTCAAAAGGCAACTGGACTTTGTTTTCCTTGAAGATGTTTCGCTTCTTATTCAAGAAGCTTTTTCAGTTTCGACTGTCTGCTTCTCTTGGATGAGAAGCAAAATATCTTCAAGGAAAAACAAAGTCCAGTTGCCTTTTGAAAAAGCACAACCATGACCTGGATGATTGAGAATCTCCAAAGACAAGATTTCAAATAATTGCTTGAACTGTGCCCTATTATGAGGTATTGAGTTTATTTAGTATGTTTTTGGAGGAACTAAGGTATACAAGGTTAGGGTTAAGATTTGGTCGCCAAGAAGTTTCCTGGAGAATTAGGGTAGCAAAGAGCCATAGGGAGACTTCCAGCAAGCCCTGAACTTTCTAGTTCTAGAGGTTTCTATTTTGTTTGGATTTGGGGGGGGGGCAGTGCGGAGGGGGAGGAAACTTTGTTGGTAGGCACTGATGCAACAAGTGTTAGGGAGTCCCTCTGTGCATCTCATCAAAATACCTTTCAGTGGTGGGGCTTAAAATTTAGATTAGTCGGTGGGAGAAGTTAATTTGATTTTAAAGATGAAAATAGATGCTTTAACTACTTTGAGGCATCCATTCACTCTTTAAATCACCCAAACCCTGACTCTCTGTGTCAGAGTGCAGCTCTTAAAGTGCTATTCAAATCCTAGTGTAGCCTTCAAGTAGAAGAATCTTTGGATTAGACTTACTAGTTTTGCATTTATTGCTCAAAGCTGGCTGGCCAGAAAGTACACTGGGTGATTGCAGGACCCAGATATGGAGGCTAAGCTGGATTTATGTATGTTAAGTTCAGGGCTTGCTGGAAGTCTTCCTATGTCTCTTTGCTACCCTAATGCTAGGGATTAAGGTTGCAGTGAATAAGGGCAGGTTGGAACCCAATTTGTACAAAAGTGTTCTTTTATAAAGGGTTACAACCCAACCCAAACCAGAGGTGGGTTCCTACCAGTTTGGACCAGTTTGGCAGAGTAGGTAGTAACTCGGCCACTCACGCACCCGAACCGGTTCTATTGTCAGCGGCATCATCTTTATTTTTGGTTCTGCGCATGCGCAGAACAATCTCCTTTGCAGAAATGTAATTTTCCCCCTTTTATAACGTTCTGCGCATGCACAGACCTTTTTAGGTGTAATTGTGCATCCGCGCAGAGTGGGATGTGTGTGAGCAAAGCGCACATTTGTGCGCACATTTTTGTGTGTGTCAAACTGGCAGTAATGCCAGTAGCAACCCACCCCTGACCCAAACCAGTTGGGCACATAAATATGAAAAATCAAGAAAGTTACACACATCCTTGCAAAAAAGCAGGCTTTTTGTCCTAAACTACAGTTATTCATCTCTCAAGCAGTGACAATGAAGGATATCATAAAATGCATGCATTCTTCTAAACGTTTCTGTCTTTTTAAAAAGTAAGTTGCATCTTTCCATGGGGGGTTGAGAGAGGAAGAGGAAAACTGAGTGGCTGTATTGGCTTCCTTAGTCTGCTAGTTCAGGCGCTGCAGCTTATAGCCAACACTGAAGCATCTGTTTTCTCTCCCACTTAGAGTTCTTCCTCTTAAATCAGGCTTCAGGAAATCAGTCAATCTGTGAAATGTCTAATCTCATTAGACAGAGGATTATCCTTCCTAAATTAGGATTATTACAAATATTGTGAGTGAAATACAGCTATGCTTGTCTTGCTGAAACACTGTATTTGCAATGCCTCTTTATTCAACTTAATCCATCCTTTTCCGGTTTCTGCCCTAGATCCAAGGAGCCATCATCATTTCCAGCCTGGTGGAAGTGGCAATTGGATTGCTGGGCATTCCTGGAGTCTTGCTCAGCTACATTGGGCCCCTGACAGTCACACCCACTGTCTCCTTAATAGGTCTCTCAGTCTTCCAAGCAGCAGGAGATAGAGCTGGAACACACTGGGGCATTGCTGCATTGTAGGTGCTCCTTTTTCAATACACCAGATTTTCAGACTGATGCAAGAGTGGAGCAAAAGCTGTAGACTTACAGAACTACTGTAGGAGCTCAGAGGAGTGAACTGCAGAGATACAAACTGACCCGTTGGCCAGATGCTCTCATCTCCTCACTCAACTGCCAGACCAAGCCAAATGAAGCAGAGAGTGAAGTTCTGGATGGTTGGTTGCCAGTGGCTCAAATCTTCAGAAAGACTCTCCTTGTGCACACTTATGAGTGTAAGTGTGCATGATAAGTAGAATAGGACAGTGGCATGGTGAGAATATTATGAATCTCTTGCTCTCTTTTCCTAAGGGGTTTGTAGCTCTGCAGTTCTGCTATATTTTAATTTATGACCAAAGAAAGGCCACATGATTTTACAAATTGAGGACCAACCCACATATGAGTGTTGGTGGCTGAATTACCCATAATTAATGGTTAAAGGATCATGAATAGAATATATAAAGTAGATATTATGAACCTTTCAGTCACCACATTCATTCTCTGTGATTCCGACTGACTTCAGAGAAGTTTGCTTTATGGGCTTAAATTGGAACCTCGCATTTTATACCAACCTGTTGGTTCACTATGGTTCTGTCACTCTAGAGAGGCAAGGAAGCCAAGAGTTGGAGGAATATGTTGTGGGAAGGAGCACTGAACTTCTCTTGGTTAGAGCATTGACAGTTATCTGATTCTGCTCAAGTCCAACTGATACATTTTTCATATATTTGCTCTGACCTCAGCAGGTCTCAGTTGAATGCTGATGACTTGTATTGAAGCTCCTTAACCTCTCAGGGCATTAATATTCTAAGGCTGATGCAATGGTGGTTCCGGATCCCATTCCAACCGGTACGGTTGGAATGGGCCCGGCGGTGTCCACATGAACGTGTGCAGTGCGCACATGTGTTTTAGCGCCTCTGCAAGCCTCTGCAATGCTCCAGCTGCTCAGAGGAGCATCACACAGGCACTGTACGTGCCGTGCACATGCGTGAAAGCACCGAAGACTTTAAAGACTGGTAAGGAGCTCGGGCG